AATTTATCATTCTTAACCAACTATAAGGCATTGTAGAGATTCTCTTATTTTCTTATCATAGCAATCATCTTCAGGCTGAACATTGTGGGGCCACCTTTCAATACTTCTGTTTTACTTCAGAAAAATATCAAGTTTAAAATGGGATAAGTGGTACATAAGAAGAAACCAGAAGATCCAAGATAGGAGTTTGTGAGTTGATTTTGAGACCAACAGTCTTTATTTTTTCATAGAACATTAAGTTTTTTGGCCAAAATTCCAGTCTTCAATTGAAAGTTGTTTTTCTTCCTTCGAAGAATGCATTTGTGAGCTGATCATACACGAAGGTGCTGGACTTGCCTGCTGTGCTGCTGAGGGAGGAAGGTAAGACTGGATCACATCCATGGTCTGCATGAGCTGGTAAGGGCAACCAGGGAAATGCATGAAAGCAGGTGGTTTTCCTTTAGCTTGTCCAGAGCTTTGGCTTGAATATTTTGAATTGTAAAAATCTGTTTCACAGATCCAGAACATCTAAACCCCAATGAATTCTTACTAGAACATGAAACTTTGAATAGGTTAAACTATTTCAATCTCAGTTTTCTTTTTTCAGAGAATATGATGATATGAATTAACTTGATGAATCCCAGAGTTGTTGGAAAGTTCAAACAAGGTATGTTATGTTAGTGTGGGAAAAAAAGAAACAAGAAACAAAAGGAGGAATAGAAAGTAATAAATGAGAAAGAAATCATGCTTAAAATCTAGTTATAAAGTGCACAGAAATGAAGAGGTATAATTTAAGACAAACAGGAGAAGGATGAGTCTTGATCTTGAGTTCAATTCTGTCACTGTGGACTTATCTAATGTTTGCCTTGGGGTCTTTTAATGATCAATGGATTGATGGGCTAAAGTGCCCACATGAGATTAGCCACCATTGGGTAGTTCTGAGAACATGAGAAAATTGTGTTCCTTACCTGGGAATGGAAAGTGAGAGTAATACATCCTAACCATCAGATGAGAAGTCTGTCTCAATTTTCCAAGCATGAGGTGCGCTTGAGGTCATAGATGTGTCCTATGCATCAGTGTAGGCCTGGAAATTTGCACACAGGATAGGTGGCCCCAGGAAACCACTTGGTGTCTACAGAGAGGTCTGAGGGGTTAGTGGTGTCCAGTGCTTTCTGTGGCCTTTCAGTTGTGCTACTAAAGAAACATGTTCAGAGATAACTGCAATGATTTTTTTTGGAAGAGCTGGAAATAGTAAAAATCTATGAATTCAGTCTTTGTCATTCAGCTGAAACTTAGAAGTACGGTTTATTTTTTACCAAATCATACAAGTTGGCAAGCATGTTTGATTCCCAAGTTCACGTACACCAATTGTCCATATTGACTTCCAGTGATAGAATCACTCACCCGAAAATCAGTCGATTCAATGAGTTACTTTCTTGTGCCAGGTGAGGTTAAATGTAAAAGAGTTTAAATTTCTTCATGATAAAGAGCTAAGACCAGAATCAAGGTGTTTTGGCTTCAAATTTGACTTCTGCCATTCAGCCCTCCGTAAGTTTCCATTTCCATGTTCCTGTGCTGGGACTTGTGAGGATCTGTTATGGTATTGTGAGACAGCCTCTAGTTTAGTGATGGGCACATAGCAAATAACAAATCACCTCTGAGCCTGCGAAGGTCATAGTAATGACTTCTATGTTCATAAAGTGATAGGTAAAGCCTTTAAGGTTTAGAATAAAAAGGTAATATGTTCTCATGTACTGGCATAGTCATGTCTGTAAGGGAAAGTGTGGAGGAGACTACAAGGGAGCTGTGGAATATATTTTTCTTTGAATGCATGACATTTGCGTTAGCAGAAAAGAGCGCCTTGTCAAGAAGAATGAATTTTAATTATTTTGCCCCAAGAACTAACTATACATTTCAGGCAAGAGAATACTTCCCATCTGTGGAACAAAAAAGGTAAAAGATCAGCAAATATCTCAAAAAACGTATGTAGCTCTTCCTTTCTTTTCCATAGACTAAATTAATTTTTGTTTGTTTTGCTCCATGAAGATGTTGGAGTCAAATGTAGAATTTCATAAGTGGAAAAAATAGTAAAAAAGGTTTTTTAAAAATATTTTTTCTTTTTTCTTTTAAAAAGCAAAACAGAAAAATGGATAGAAATGGCAGAGAATTTAAAAAATAGAAGGAAATTAACACTAGTTAATAATATATTGCATACTGTTATCTTAGAAGTAGTTGTTCAGGTTACAAGATCTTGGCATAAAAATGATCAATCAGTCAATGACAGTACAAACTGCTCTTTTTGATGAACTAACAGAGATTAGTAGTATAGATACCTAGGAAGTAAAGAAGTTTTAAAATGATTCTTACACCTTTTTTTTTTTTTTTTTTTTTTAATTTGAGGAATCCTTGTCTGGTGTATTTATTCAAGTGGGTGACTTTTGAAGAAAGAAGTTATCTTAGTCATACTACTCTGGGTAAGTTTTCTTGAGATTAGGGATCCCAGGATGCAAAGCCTGAAAATTGGACTAACATAAGATTAAAAACTAGTATTATCTAAGTGTGCTTTTTACTCATGTATGAATTTCTATACTCTTCCCTCTCTGTGGTAAATTGTACACTCTGAGTACCAGATTAGACCATAGGAGAATTTTAGGCTAATGACACATTTTGCTTAACAATCTTTCAGTATCATAACAGTGAATAATAACATTGCTCTTGAAACAATGGAAATGAGGAAAATGTCTGTAAAAGTAAGATTCACTCAATTTTACACGGATTTTGGTATGGTCTGATGTGTCTCTCATAAATTCATATACTGAAATGGTAACCTCCAATGGGATGGTATTAGGAAGGGCAACCCAGGAAGGTGGTTAGATCATGAGGAAACAACCTCTATGAATGGGACTAGTGTTTTTATATGAGGGAGCTTGGAGGAATAGGTAGCTTCTTCAAGCAGGTGAACACAGCAAAAAAGTGCAATCTATACATTAAGAAACAGGTCCTCCGGAGACAATGAGTTTGCCAGCACCTTATTCTTCAGTTTCTCCACATTACAGACAGTGAGAAATAAGTGTTGTTTTTTATCTACCAAGTGCATGGCATTTTCCTGTGTTACGTAGACAGGACTAAGACGTTAGGCTCTTTTAGTGTATTGTAAAAGGTTAGTTTTGGTTATTTTAAAAGGTATTCAGAACTTTGGCTTTTCCAGGAAGCAATGAACATGTGATTTTTTGAACTGGGAAGATGGCGGAACAGTAAGCAGCAAAGTAAAAAGCCTCTCTGAGAGAAACTGCCCAGATGCTGGAGTATCGCATTCTGGAGAAGGAAAAGCAGGAAAGACGCAGATCCCCTTGACCAAGTGAGAATTGAAGCCCACAGAAAGAATTTTAAAAAAGAAAATCTTGAACAGAAGAAGGCAGTAGCTGGTGGCGCTCTCACCAGAGCCGGTCTCACTGTGCCAGAAACAGTGTTGGAACCTGGAGAAGCATGGGCACAGTGAAGCTGGTGGCTGGTAAGCCCGAAGGCCTTGGTGAGGAGATGTGATGACAGAAGGGAGCAGCACACCAGAGAACTGCACTGGCTGGCACGTCCCAACTCATGGGGCTGTGACTCAGCAAACTGCCTGGGTTCCCACCACTTAGACTCGCCTGAGCCACGGTTGCGCTGGGCTGCTGGCGCACTGAGGTCAGGGACCAGCAAGACCAACAGAAAGCAGAGCCAGTAGGGGACCTGCATTGACCTGCTGTAAGTGTTGGGAATAAAACCTTTCCACGGGAAAGGGAACAACATCTTGGAACCAGGCAGGACTGGCAGAAACAAAGTACTGCAGAGACTTCAGTCAGTTCTTCCCTTCCCAGACGGGATTGGTCAGATGTGCTTGGCCTGGGTTATGCCCCTGGCTGGGAACTAAACCAATTCCCTATGCACTGTGCACACTAAGACAGTGAGGCCAGTGAAGGCCTCAATGGGCTGGCTGACCTGCAGGAGAGGGGCCAAAATGTGCTGTCCCTATTTGCACTTCAATAGCACACTGGAGTACGCAGGGTCACCTATCCAGTTCACTTCAGAAGAACCAGAATCAACAAAAATAAAGGGATTAGGGCCTTCTTTATATACTTGTATGGAAGAAACAAAAAATACGAGAAGAGGAAACAATAAGAAAAATTCCCCAGCCCCCAACCCTGAGAACATTGATCCAAGAAAGGTAAATACAAAAGGGATTGAGGACAGCAAACATGCAATATCAGACACTGCACCAGTGACATAAAGAAATATATTCAGGGCCTCATAGATGAGTTCAAAAGTGAAATTTAACCATGTAAAGCAAGATATAAATAGATTAATAAAAGAAATGCTAAACACCTCTCAAGAAGACACAGACGGAAGAATGGAGGAACACAAAGGAGAGAACCATTTGATGAAGAATATAAAGAAAATGTAGAATACATGAAGCAGTTTCAAAGAGATTGCCAGGAAATTAAAAACTCCATTGAAAAGCTGGCAAAACTGCTTGAAAGAAACTAAGGATAGATTATCCAAACTGGAGGGCAGGTTTGCAATGTGGCATTATGAAAGGAAAAACTTTTTAAAAATAACAAGGATACAAGAAGTAACAATACAAAGGTGAGAAGATGACTCTTAAGAGGATCTATAACTTGAGAATAAAGAATATGAATGAAGAAGCAGGGGTACAAACAAAGGAGCTACAAAGGCTATTCACAGAAATAATTAAGGAACACGGTGATTTTGCATAAAACTTTCTATCATTTAGATCAGTCGTCTATGAAGTGAGAGGACAGGGAGTCTCCGGAATACCTTCATCTGGGGCACTGTATGCTCTACAAATTATCTGAAGCTGCAGTTCTATGTATCATGTCATGTTTTAGGTCAGCACTCCTGAAAACAATGACAGCAATGCTGTAACAGGTGGCCGTGTGGGGAGGCTGTCAGGGCTCAGCAGGTCCTCCCACCTACCACTCTGATCCTTTTTTCTCATTGCTCCAGGCACCACGTGACTCCCAATGGAGAACAGCACAGAGGTGACTGAGTTCCTTCTGGCGGGCTTAACTGATGACCCAGGACTGCGGCTCCCACTCTTCATGATCTTCTTCCTTGTTTACCTCAGCACTCTGCTTGGGAACCTGGGCATGACTGGCTTGATCCTGCTGGACTCACATCTCCACACCCCCATGTACTTCTTCCTCAGCAACCTGTCCCTGGTGGACTTTGGGTACTCCTCAGCTGTCACTCCCAAGGTGATGACTGGACTCCTCTCAGAGGACAAGATGATGTCCTACAATGCATGTGCCATCCAGTTCTTCTTCTTTGTAGCCTTTATCACGGTAGAAAATTTCCTGTTGGCCTCCATGGCTTATGATCGCTATGCAGCAGTGTGTAAACCTCTTCACTACAGCACCACCATGACCACCAGCAAGTGTGTTTGTCTGAACACAGCCTGCTATGTCTGTGGCTTCTTGAATTCTGCCATCCATACAGGCAACATCTTCAGCCTGTCCTTCTGCAGGTCCAATCTGGTTAATCACTTTTTCTGTGATGCTCCCCCTCTTCTGGCTCTCTCCTGCTCTGACAGCTATGTCAGTGAGATGGTCATCTTTTTAGTGGTGGGTTTCAATGACTTCTTTGCTATCCTGGTCATCATGGTCTCCTATCTGTTTATATTAATCACCATCCTGAGGATGCAGTCTTCTGAAGGACGCCAGAAAGCTTTTTCCACCTGTGCCTCCCACCTTACCGCAGTCTCTATCTTCTATGGGTCAGGCATCTTCATGTACCTGCAGCCCAGCTCCAGTCACTCTATGGGCTCAGACAAGATGGCATCTGTGTTTTACACCATGGTCATCCCCATGCTGAATCCACTGGTCTACAGCCTGAGGAACAAGGAGGTGAAGAGTGCCTTTAAGAAGGCTGTGTGGAAAGCAAAGTCATCTGTAGGATTCATATTTTAGTTATGCAGAGTCTGTCTTTAGACAGTTCCATCTACCTCAGTTACTCTTTGTCTATTAAGTCTAATGTATAAATTCCTTCCAAAAATGGTTTCCATTGACTTTTCCCTCAAACCTTGTGTTTTTCACACTTTCCTTTTTCTTTGGGTGACATATATTTTTGGTAAAATCTGGCCTTTTTAAATAATAAAAAGCATATTTTAGAATTCATGTTATTCTTTCTGAATAAGGTTTGGCAACAGAGTTGGTGATATTTGTTTACTTAGTGGTTTTACTGGATCACTTATATTATTTCTGTATTCCTTGCTGAATATGGCCATTGAAATTTTAATTAACTGTCGGGTCAATTAACAATTGGGTGTGGTTTCTTAAATGCTCTAAATCTTAATTCTCATTCTTTTCTGCATCATATTTTGGAGCATATTTTCAACATTCCAGAAGTTTAGATTTTTAATCTTGTTTCCCTTTTTTGTCTAGCTTCAGACTGAGGCAAAAATGAGAGATTAAGACATTTTCAGGCTTGTTCTAGGAGCATAAAGTTTTGATCAAGTTCATAGTTTTTACAGTCTGTAGGTATACATTAAGATTTTCAAAGCCTATTATGTTTTTCAAATTTCTTTAAAAAATCCATGGAAAGTGTGATCAAACTCTCATTTGCTCCAATTTTGTTTGTATCTTCAGAAAACCATAATGATGTATTATAAAATCATTGTTGCTCAATTCTTCAACAGTGGCTTAGGAATACAGCTTTTTATGCTTGAGTGAAATCCAGGGTGCCGTAAAAGCAAATCGCTAAGTGAGGCTGCTAAGTAGGTAAAACAGTGATATTTCTCTGTAGATGGCTCATTTGACAATGATCCTAATACACGTTTTTCTCAAGTAACTGTTAAGCTATTTTTTTCTCAGCTGCATGGCTTCAAGTCTGCTTTCACTGCTGCTTGTTGGTGAATACAGCAAGTTAAGCCACACAGAGCAAGATGGTTGATAAGGCTTTGAAACCATGATCTCACTGCAGAAACATCAATTTCAACTGCTCTTCACAGTCCAGATTTCCTTCAAGACTTCTATAACTTCCACATGAGCGATCACATTACTTGGTTTACAGTAGTAATAAGAAAAGACACATTGGTGATTGTGGGCAGGAAAGAATTGCCCATGTCACTAACAGCTAAGCAAAACACCATGGAAGAAACAACACCTGCTGGGGGCAGGGAGTGGGCATTAAGCTTGGCTCTTAGACTTGAAATTGGTGTCTGCCCTGCCACAGTGAAACCCAGTACCAAGCCAAACTCCATGGGCCCTCTCCACAGGCCAATGCCAGTAGACCAAGCCTTCAGACTCATATTTGCCAGACAGTCAAGGGATTGCCTCCATCTTCCCTCCCCCACTCATAGCACAGAGCAAGACTCCTTCTGTTGGGAGTAAGACAGAAAGTTAGGCAAAATATTTTGCTTCATAACTTAGATCTAGATGGGTGAAAACTCAGTACTGAGTGAATTTTTATGGCCTGTGTACCCAAGTCAGTGCCAAAGGATGAAGTCTCTGGACCTAGCCCAGTGCCAGGAGGAGAGCAGTGACCCCAGATGCATATCCTTCATTCTGATCAGGGTCACCTGTCACTTGTGTGTAGCAGTGTTGAGCTACGTATAAAGCACAGCAGAAAGTAGGCTATCGCATCATGGCCTTGGTCCTGCCCCTTCAGTGTACTGATCTCTGCACTGTGGGCTCCATGTCATTAGTGTTGGTGGCCATGGACTGCCTACCTCACCCTCTTCGCAGCCTCAGGTAGCACAGCATGAAGAAAGTAGTCATCTGCTTAGGGAAAGAAGAGAAAATTTGTTGCCAAGTCATGGTATAGGAGCCTTGACCTTGGTGAGGGCTAGAATTAAGCAGAATCTTACAGTACCTGACCACAAGATGGCAACCATGGCCAAAGTATCTGGACTTAACCTGATCCTAGGTCAAGACTGAGGATAAACTACCTTGTTTAAAAAAATTTTTATTTGTACATGTTTGTAGTGCACATACTTTACATCTACCTTGAATAATGGTTACAGGTACATATTACAGCATCTTTCCTTTTTTTTAATACCTCCCCTTCCTACCCTTTGTCCTCCTCCAGTTTCTCTATTCCATTTTTCATTCCTGTTATCATAATTTGTTTTAGTTCATGTTGTGGCCTATAATGTTTTTATAACTGGGGTTATTAGGTTCCCACACATGATATATCTTTATTCTTCTTGTTTCTCCTCATCCTTCACCTTTTTTCCCTTGGGCCACTACCATATTGCAAGAGATTCATCCTCTTTAGCTTTCTATCCATCCTTTATTGTGAACTATCTTTTTTGGGTACTCCTCCAGTTCATTCTAAGCAACATGGAAACTGAAAGTTTTATACAAACTTAGGCTTGGGGGACCTTCTATTGCCGTAACAGTAACAGCACATTGACTGTGGACTCATAGTAAAATGGTAACCAGGAGTACCATCTAGAGCTCAAATGATAGAAATGACTACAGGCTCAGAAAATAATTAGCATGCTTAGGATTTCTGGAAAGGCAGGCCCAAAAGTACCAGATTATGAAGTCTGGGACAACTATTTAATATTTCAGTTTACATTTGATGTTGCACACCAACAAGGATTAGGAACTTTCATGGAAGTCAGACTTCAACTAATCACCAAAATAAGATGCTACAAATTGATTCTATGGCAACCAATATGTGTGAACTCTTGAAATGAGAATTCAAAATAGGTGCTTGAAAGAAAATTAACAGGCTTCATAAAGGCACAGACAAACAACTGAATCCTTCACCTGACAAATTTAACAGAGATACTAAAGCAACTAAAATATCAAACAAAAATCCTTGAGATAAAAATGACACTAAACCAAACAAAAACACAGTGAAGGTATCAAGAGCAGAATAAACAAAGAAGCATTGGTGACCTCAAATACAGGATATTTGAAAATATACAATCAAAAGAGAAAGAAAAACAAGAAAAAGAGGAGTGAACAAAGTGTATGGGAATAGCAGAACAACATTAAAAGAACAAATATTCAGGTTCTTTGGGTTCAAGAGGGGTTTGAGAATGCCAAAGGTAGAGATCTTCTTTAAAAAGATGACAGAAAATGTATTAAACCAAGACAAAGACTCAGCAGATAGGTCACCACTCAAACTCAACCCTACCAGGACTACCTCAGTAATATAGTGAAGCTCTATAAAGCTAAAGGTAAGCATACTTTTGGAGTAGCAAGAGAAAGGAAACACATAATATATAAACAGCATCCAATATACCCGAAACCAAGTTTGTCTGCTGAACTCTTATTGGCCACAAGGAATTAGCAAATGATTATCACAGCATCAAAGAAAAAAAGATCAACCAACAATACAATACTCAGAAAGCTATCCTTCATAAATGAAGAAGTGATAGAGATACTTCCACACTAAAAAATGCTGAGAAAATTTATCACCACTAGACTTGTTCTTTAGAAATGCTAACAGAGCTCTTCAACAGGAAAGAATTGTTAGCAAAAGAAAATAGGGAAAGATATGTGTCATACTTGGCCTGTTATAAAAATAACTAAATAGGCAAATTTACGAAGCTCTGATTATGTAAAAATGATGCATACAGCATTTATATCTTTATACCAAGACGAAAAATGAAACAATGGAAATAATACCTATATTAATATGTTAGAGATACATGGTATATAAATATGTAAAATAGGACTTCAAAAATTCAAAATATGGGAAGTACAAGTGTAGTGTTCTATTAGCATATAAACTCTCTCTAAAAACTTTTCTTATCATTGTGACCATGCTATGTTGCTAGCATTTCAAGACAATTTATAATTAAGAGATATTTTTTGGTAAGCTTCATGGTAACCATGTAGCTGAATTCCATAATAGACATACCAAAATTAACAAGCAAACAATGAAGAAATTTAGCTTAGTTTCTTGTTGTGTGTAAGCAATTAAATTCCCCTCTAAGGACAGGCATAGACAAAAAGTGAAATAATGATAAAAAAATACTCCATGCAAATGGAATCTAAAAGAAATCAGAAGTAACCACACTCATAACAGGCAAATAGATTTTAAGTCAAATTAAAACAAGAGCATTACACATGATAAGTGAATCAATTAATTCTGAGGAAATAATAATTATATTCACCAAATATTAGAACATTTACATCTATGAAGCAAATATTAATAGACATATAAGGAGAGAGTAGTCAGGTTTGGTGGCACATTCCTGTAGTGCCAGCACTGGGAGACAGAAGCAGGAGGATTGCAATAAGTTCAAGGCCAACCCAGGCTACATAAGTGAATTCAAGGTTGGCTGCATTATGCAGTAAGATCTTGCCTGAAAACAAAACAAAACAACATTAAAAGGCATATTTAAATCAGGCATAGTGACATATGCACATAATCCCAGCACTTGGTAGGCTGGGACAGGAAGATCACCATGAGTTTGAGGCCAGTCTGAGCTACATAGTGAGTTCAAGACCAGCCTGAATTACATACTGAGGCCCTATCTCAAAACAAAAAAAATCATAAAGCGATAACAAAGAGAAATTTCAATACAATAATACCAGAGAACTTTGACATTCTACTTTCAGTAGCGGAAGGATCAGAAAATATATCAAAACATTAACAGGATTAAAGTATATGCTAGATCAAATGGATTACAATGATATTTATAGAACAGTACATCCCAAAATGAAGAATGCATAGTCTTCTCAGCCACATATGAAACATTGTCTAGAATAGAGTTTGTTTAAGCACTTGTCTGATAAGCATGAGATCATGAGTTCGATCCCCAGTACCAGAAAAAAAAAGTTTAGCATAGAGTATGTGGTGGGTCACAAAACACATCTTAGTAAATTTTTAAAAATTGAAATTGTATCATGTATCTTTCCATTTGAATGAAATAAATTGGAAACCAGTAACAAGAAAAACAAAATTTATTCCTGTATATCAAATCAGTAAAAAAGAAAATTTAAAATTTCTTGATAAAAATGAAAATAAAAAATACTATAATCTGAAATGTATGGGAAAATCAAAAACAAAAATAAGAGAGATATGTACAGCAATCAATGACCAGAAAAAACATCAAATAAGCATTCAAAGAACTTGAAAATAAGAAAATATTAAATCTAAAATTAGTAGGA